ACTCCTCAGTCTCCTTTGCTGGCTCTTCCTCTATCACTCCGGTTTTGGTTGGTGTGCCTTGGAGATAGTGATCTGGACCCTTTTCTCCCCTCCTTATTATACACCTCCTGACCCCCAGGCAATCTCCTGCACGTCTATAGCCTCACTGATTATCTATATGCCAAATCCCCCACATTTATCCATCTAGCCTAGATAACCCCATATTCTTAGCTCCAGACCAATGATCTGCTTATTATTCAGTTGGATTATTTACTAGGCAGTCTCAAACACAGCAGGTCCAATGTAGCATTCCCAGTCTTTCCTCTGAACTATCTCTTCCTCCAGGTTTTCCTAACTCAATCAACAGTACCATAATTCAGTATTTTACTTCTCCCAGAGTCATGGATTTCATCTTTACCTTCTGTCATTGCATGAATTGGGTCCCCATATTCATATTTCGAAGCCCTAACCCCCAGGACCTCAGAATATGACTATATTTGGAGATAAGGCCTTTAAAGAGGTAATTGAGTTAAAAATGAGGCCATCAGGGTGGGCCCTACTCCAATCTAACAGATGTCCTTATTAGAAGAGGAAATTAGGACTTACAGAGAAACACCAGGGATGTGCGTGTGCAGAAAAAAGACCATGTGAGGACACAGCAAGTAGGCAGCCATCTGCAAGCCAAAGAAAGAGGCCTCAGGAGAAACCAAACCTGCCAACAGCTTGATCTTGGGCTCCCAGCCTCCAAAAGAGGATTGCCAGGGAACAGCCATCACATGAGCAGCCATCACAGGGCTCTTCAACCTCTCACCTCTCACAATATAAAAGGATTGAAAGACTGAAGACTTAGGGGCAGATATTATATGGAAGATTTGGGAAAAAAAAAAACTGTGCTTGGGAATCCCACCCAATCTACCACGACCATCAAGAGAAAGGAGTAGGGGAAGTGTTGCCCACTCACTTCAAGTCTAGTGAGAGGAACTTACGAGCCCTCCAAGAGCTGGAAGAGATCCTAGACTCACACCTGGGCAAGGAGACCAGCTCTGCAGGGAAGTAACTGCACTCCTTCTAAAGGTGCATGAAATCCTAGATGCAGACCTGACAAGAGGAATATCAATCTGAAGTTGTTTTTAAAAGGATCCTGCCCCAAAGAGCAGCATGTCAGGAAGAGAGGAACCTGGTCATCTGAGGCAAGAAGGGGAAGAATCTGAAAGTGATCAGGATGGTCACTGCCCACATCAAAGCAATGGCAATCAGTTGGCCCTGGGTTGGGGGGTGGGATGGGAGAGGGAGGGAGGTGGTCCTCTGGAGACCACGTGAATATGCCCACGATGAAATCAGCTTAAAATCTGCCCTGCCTAGAGAGAACACGGGGCCATCTTTCAATAAACACATTTGGTTCACTTTTTTTTTAGTTCTTTTTTTATTTATGTATTTTTAAACTTATTTATTTTTTTAAATTTACTTTTGGCTGCACTGGGTCTTCGTTGCTGTGTGCAGGCTTTCTCTAGTTGGCGGCGAGCAGGGGCTACTCTTGGTCGCGGTGCTTCTCATTGCAGTGGCTTCTCTTGTTGCGGAGCATGGGCTCTAGGCGCGTGGGCTTCAGTAGTTGTGGCATGTGGGCTCAGTAGTTGTGGCTCGTGGGCTCTAGAGTGCAGGCTCAGTAGTTGTGGCCCATCGGCTTAGTTGCTCTGCGGTATGTGGGAACTTCTCGGACCAGGGCTTGAACCCGTGTTCCCTGCATTGGCAGGTGGATTCTTAACCAGTGCGCCACCAGGGAAGCCCTGGTTCACTCTTAACTTTGCTTCACTGCCCCAGCAGGGTCAGAAACAGCAGCCATGGAATAAGAAAGGCAATGGGAAAAGGGTAGAAGGAGCTGCCCAGAATCTCTACCCACACCCAAAATTCTTATTTGCCCCCCAGGCCTAACAAGGAAAGAGGAACTGAGTTTTTCCTTTGAATGAAGATTGAAACAGCGATTAGTATACTGGGTCTGACACTGCAAATTACTGAATTGAAGTATACGGGGTGGATGTTTTATTTTATTGATGTATAGTGGATTTACAATATATTAGTTTCAGGTGCACAACACAGTGATTCAAAATTTCTATAGATTATACTCCATTTATAGTTATTACAAAATATTTGCTCTATTCCCAGTGCTGTATCCTGGTAGCTTATTTATTTCATACATAGTTGTTTGTACCTCTTAATCCCCTACCCCTATCTTGCCCCTCCCCACATCCCTCTCCCCACCAGTAACCACTGATTTGTTCTCTGTATCTATGAGTCTGTTTCTGTTTTGTTATATTCATTCATTTTACTTTTTAGATTCCACATATAAGTGATGACATATAGTATTTGTCTTTTTCTGACTTATTTCACTAAACATAATAGGGAGTGGATATTTTAAATTGCTGAATTGAGACTAAAATGAACATAGGACTGAAAGACCGGAGAAGTCATGGAATGAGCTCCAGTTTTCAAGAGGCAAGAGAAAGACTAGCCCCACTCGGCAGGATTAAAGCGACAAATATAAAGTGGCTTCTATGATTACATCCCATGAGTGCAACATGCTCCAAGTACAAGTCTTAGTGGTTTCAGTGATCAGTTACCTAATCTGGGCTGGGTAGAGAAGGAAGAGTATCCAGGAAGGGTCTGATGGGAGAATATAATCACTGTGGTGTAGAGCCTCCAGGAGGCTATGGTGTGCATAACTGGTATAACATTTCTGAGATGAAACAATTCTGGGTGAGAACACAATCCGGAGTGTGATCCTGGGGGATTAGGTCACCAACGTGCTTTGAAGCTCAAGAGGTAAGGAAAGAGATTAAGGAACGTTAAAGCCAAATTGTTATATAGGTGCAGAATCTTTGGGGATTCTGTCATGGCTTGAGATGAAAAGGAAGGTGATGAACAGTAGAAACTAACACAACATTGTAACACAACTATACCCCAATAAAAAAATTTTTTTTTAAAAAGGAAGGTGATAGTCCAGATCCCACTTGCTACCACTCTCTGAAAACTGTTCCTGTCAAGATCACCAGTAAGCTCCACAGCAACACATCCACTATAGACAATTCTCATTTCTCACTTACCAAACAGTAGTATTTGACATAACTGATCACTTCCTCATTCCTGACACACTTTCTCCACTTAGCGTCAAGGATCCCACCCTCTCTAATTTTACTTCTCCTTCCTGGCCATGCCTTTTCATATTCTGCTGGATCCATCTTCGATTCTTAACCATTCAATGTTGGAGGACCTAGAGCCGAATCACAGGAACTTTTCTCTTTCCTGTCTCACCTCCTAAGAGATTTTACCCAATCATATGGCTTTAAATATTTCTATATAGTCCCAAATGTATATATCTACTCCAAAATCTCCCCAGACTCCACACTGCTTACTTGATATCTATGCTTAGATATCTGTCTAGTAGAGCTCTCAAATTTAACATGCCCAGAACCAAACGCCAAGCCATCATCTGCTCTCCATCTAAACTTGCTCTTCTCCAGATTTCCCTAGCTCAGTAAATGGCACCATGATTGCCCAGTTGTTTAGGCCAAAAAATTTGGAGTCAGCTTCTATGCCTCTTTGTTTACATCCCATCTGCAAATCTTGTCAACTCAGCCTTCAGTTTATAGCACCAAACCCATCCAGTCTCCACCACCTCCACCTTAACCCAAACCATCATCACCGTCTCTCTGCTTCCACCCTTACCTTTCTGTAATCTCTTCCCCACACAGCCTGAACAATCCATTTAAACATAAATCAGATTTACTTCTCTGCTCAAAGTCCCCACAATAGCTCCCACCCATCTCAGATGAAATTCTAAATCCTTGACATGAGTTTTAAGGCCATGTGTCTGGCCATGTCCCAGAGTTTTTCTAAGGCTCTGTAAGGGTCATCTTAAATGCTGGGGACTAAGTATTAAAAAAGTTATCACATATTGTTTCCAAGAAATGTCTCTGAAGGCACGCAATGTTCTTGAAAGATGTATTTCATCCTTTTTGCCCTTAGTTACATGAAAAATCTACCAGCCATGTACTATATACCCAGGGCTCTTTTCCAAACCCCACCCCATCCCACTGCCAAGGAAGCACTGCTTGAAGTCCTCCTTTGCCCTCAACGCTCAAGTCAAATGTTCCCTGTTTTGGAAGCCTTCTCTCTGTCTACTGCCGCCTAATCCATCCTCAGTCTCAATAGCCTACAGGGGGGGAAAGTTCTCTCGTGTTTCCTCAGCTCTGTATTCATACATAGTGATTGAATGGGAATCTGTAAAACTTGTGTCTGCCTTGCATTTCTACCTTGTAAGGGACAAGTCTATTAACTCACACTTTAAAAAGATGTATATATACTATATTTCATCAATTCTAAGCCTCACTTTTCTTTATTTTACAGACTGAAATTGGGATGACTCCTAATGATATAATTAGAGAGCAAAGTTTATCAGCGATTTTTCTTTCTTGGTGGTATATAAAATGGCACCTTGAAATTGATACTATCTTACATTTGATTAAATACGGACTATAAATCCTACGCGTTTATGTTCCTCAGTCTTCACTAGCAAAATTTAATATATCATTCCATATGACGGTTAATTATTTTTGCTACATTAAACTTAAATATAAATTGAGTTGGGAATGGGCATAATTTCCTCACTTCCAAATTGCAGACTGCATCATACGTATGAAAACGCTCCAGAGACCGCAAAGCATTATATACATGATGGGTATTTTTTCACATTTAACGATTACTAGTTAATAGAAATGATCGACACTCTACGCGCCGACCTGACGGCTCCAAAGCCCTAAGGGTCGAATCTGGGTTAGATAGTTCGACTCACGCAGGTAAACGCGCCCCGCCCCCCCGAGCCGGTCCCTACTCGCTTTACAGGTACAGACTCAGGTGCAGGAGACAAACTCCGATTGGCCGAGGGACACGAGATGCCCACCCAAACGCACCGTCCGAGCATGCGCGGTAAATTAGACGCAGGCGCGCTCCGCGCATGCCCGGTAGGTAGCGGCCGCAGCTTGGGCGCTCGCGCGGGGTCGTGAAGTGCCGGCTGCTCCGCTACCGTCAGGTATGAAGAGCTGGGGTCTTGCAGCTGCCTCCTCCTCGTTCCAGCGCCATGGAATGCCTGCGGAGCCTGGCCCAGCTCCAGCCCCGCGCGGTGAGGTTGCCCCGGCGCACCCTGTGCTCTCTGGCCTTGGGCTTGACCCCCGGGACTCGCCCCGTTGCCGCCTGCGGCCGCGCTGCCCAACTGCTCGGAAGGAGGTGGGCCGCGCCGCTGTACGGGCCCCGCCGGCTCCCCACGACAGGTACTCCCCTCTCCGCCCCGCAGCCCCGGGACGCCGGGCTTGCAGTGATCCCGGGGCCCCGACCCGACCGCCGGAGCCCACGTGGCTGTGGCTGCTCCGGCCTCGGCCTCCAGGTCCGTCCTTGGGCGCCCGGCTCTTGTCCCCTTGCACAGGTCCGCGTGCCGAGCTGCGTCCCACCAGCCCCGAACGCGACTGAGCACTGCGCCTTGTGCCCAGCTAGAGCCCGACCCGCCAGGCCTCTTGTCTTTCCCACCGCCCCGGCTGCAAATCTCCAGGCCTAAGTGCGCTTGTGAAAAGACTTTAAAGAGTTTCGCTCTTACCTGTCATCATAGTGCTGAAGCTAAGATTAGGCTTATCTACCTGAAATATTTTTTTAAGTATTTTCCCTGTCTTCTGTCTCTTCCTTATGGACGGACACACTTATACCTTTTCCAGTTGCTCAGGTAAGGGGTGGGGACGCACCTAGAGGTGAGGCTGAAGACTTTGAAACTTAATGGGAAGAGTTGCTTCTGAGAAAGATCTGACTTTTTTTCCAAGTACTGTGTAACTAGACAGCCAGAAGGAGTCGGGGGATGGGGGGAGCGGGGTTGAAATTTGAGGGGTTTTTTCCCCCTGAATGATAGAGCATGACGGTAATACGTTGACATTTTCACAAATGTGACAGCGTGGGTGCTAATATTGCTGAGAAACAAAAGGCATTAAAATATATGGCTTCGCAAAAAACGTCCTCAAGTAAGTTTCTCAGTTGTACTCTCAAAATGCTCCCGAAGTAACTCACCATCTCCACCTTCTTCCTCATACCCATTAGGAAACTCTTTCCAAATTGGGTTACATTTCATATTCCCTTCTTTGTTTGGTAAATGCCTGGGAACCCAGGTTCAGCCCATCTAATGTTTTAGGACAAAGCATTAGATGGTAACATTTTATCTAACTTGTGACTGATTAGCAAAAGCTGATGTGTAGCTCTTTAACCTTTATTCAGCTGACCCTCATAACATAGTTTGTATTTTGTAGAAGGGAACCAACAAACCTCAGGTGGTAACAAATTACATGTCTTTAAATGTATGTAATAGGAAGGAATAAGATCAGAAGTGAGAATATATCTACACGTTCTGTAGATAGGAATTCTGTTCATTCCTCTTATGTTTAGTATTTTGAACAGTGTCCTTTGTCAGGCATTAAATTTACTTGGTTATACTGGAGAGCTCACTTCAGTTTAAATCACATGTTTTAAATAGGTTTATTTTCAGATAAAGATTTGTCTTTATTCCAGTTCACTGTGGTCTCCATTCCAGTGCAGTAGGTTATTTCATAAGTATGTTCACTCTAAAGTATATGTGTGGAAAAGAAGTTAGTACATAGAAGTAAAATCAGTAGGTTTCATAATTTATAGGTCAAATAATCCTGATATTGGAATGCTGAAAGGTCACGTGGTTCTTGGAATGTATGTTTTCTAAACTGTACCAATGTAACTTGCATGAAGAGCCTTTCTAAACTAGGCAAAAAAGAATGGACATTTTATTTTAATCTCAGAACATTGTTATACACTTGTTCATCCTACTAGAAGATATCAATAATACTTCGGAAAAGCGATGACTGGAATCCATAGATTATTCTAATGCTTCACCTAAGCTACTCATTCATTGCCAAACGTAACATTATCACCTACAAATATTAACAAGAGTGTTTCTTATTTTCCCTCTAGGAAAAAGATTCAAAACATAGTAAAATAGGCTGAAGACCTCCACATACTGTGAGAATTGTATCTTAGCTGCATGTGAAAACCAATCATATGATCACAAGGAGTTCTCTGATTCGTTTTTCAGGTGAAATTCACCGGTTTAGAACTTCTGATGTCTCTCAAGCCACTTTAGCCAGTGTAGCCCCGATGTTTACTGTGGTGAGTATGTGTGGTCCGTTTGATGATATTACTTACTTTGTTTTATAATGAATCCTTATAAGTCATTGTCTTTTGCTTAGCCAGTGACCTGAGTACCAGCTAGGTTTGCTTCACAGCACTCTTGAAACTTTGCTAATGACCATAGAGCTCATCTTTTAATACTAGAACAGGTGGCTCAAATCACAATTCAGAGCTTCCTATTTGAATACTCAAGATTTCTCCAGAAATCTATTTAGAAATCCTTGAAGGCTGTTAATTACAAAACGGCTTGAACCTGTGCTATGCAACGTAATATATGCAGAAGCATTTTGAGGGCAGCACAGTGTATTACCTGAGAGTGCATGCTTTGAAGGGCCATGATCTCTGCAGCTTTCTCTTTTGTTCAGAAAAAAAATTGAATAAAATAACACAAATGGTGTGTCTCACACGCACACATATTTAGAGAGAGAAAAATAAAGTGCTTGCTCTGAGCCAGAGTTTCTAATTTCAGATCTCAACTCTGTCTCTTACTAACTGGATGGACTTGGACAAGTTATAACATCTCTGTGCCCTAGTTTTCTCATCTGTATACTGGGGGTAAAAGTACCCACCTTATAGAATTGTGAGATTTAAATTAACTCACATATGTAAAACTCTTAAAAATAATACCTCATGCATGGTAAGCATTCAGTGTATATTAGCCATTATATATCATCCTTATTATTTAGGCTTACTAACATAAGAACTTTTCTTTATCAACTATACAGAGCAAGATAACTTTTACACGTAGTTCTGGGGGTTATCACTCTTATTCACTGTTCTGGAAGAGTTAGCCAGTTTAATTAACAGTACAAAATCAGGTGTTAAATATTGAAAGAAGGTTCTTTGCAGGTGAAATCATTGTCTACCAAGAGCACTTAAAATCAGTTGATGCTATTTGAAATAATGTGAGTTATATTACAAGGTAAACATTTTTTTTAAAAATCAGTTTGTATGATCTCATGGTTTTTTTTAAATCAAAAAAATCCCATTAAGGAAAAAATATAAATATTGAGATGCAAAAATATTCACCATACATTGTTAAGTTGAAAGTGGAGGGGAGACTGCAAAGAAGTGTGTGTAACATGAATATATTTAATAGGAAAAAGTCTGGAAGGACATTCAGTAAAATATTAGCATGGTTTTCTCTAAAATTTGTGACCAAATAGTTTTATTTATCTTTATTTTCAAATTTTCTGCAGCAGATGTATATATTTGTGAAATAAGTTTAAGGAGGAAAGCTAGTGTGTATTACACAAAACATAAAGCTTCCCTTGATGTAAATTTCCCTTGAACTCTGATGTTTTATGATACTCATATATTCCTGTTGATCTTATCTTTGCTCATGAGAAGCAAGCTGAAATATATATTGTGAGGTTTTATTGTGTTATTAAACACAGCATGTGTATTTTCCATGGTAATAATCCAGGACTTGGACCTACAACTGTATCTTAGAGTGTGTCTTCCTGAAAATGCATATTTAATAGTAATTAATACAGCCCAGTACCTAGTGATTCATTAAATATTATTTGACATCTTCAAACTTGACTATGGACAAGTATTACAGGAAAACCTTCCCTCTGCTTTATAGGAAATAAGCACAATTTCTGCATTGTGCCCTCTTTTTAAACTATCAGAAGAGGTCTTTTTTGTAAACATTTATTGATTCTGCAACACCCACCAGAGAGACTTCATAGCCTCCCATAGATAATTAGATTCACAAGATAAGCCACACTTGGTCCCAGTCTGTTCAGAAGGATAAAGGATAGGAAGTGCAGAAGGGCAGCATTAGGTGTTTTCTCTTCAAAAGAAGTCCTTACAGCCATGCAGGGGCTCCTGTGGCCCCCTGTGTGACAGCTCAGGTGCGAGGAGAGGATATTCTCAAATGTGGGTGTGAGATCCACCTTGGCTTAGAATCCCCAGGCCCTCTAGTGCCAGTAGCTTGTAACCATCCCAGAGACACATCCAGGGCTCCCACAAGGAGCATAGTCAGTTACAAGAACCACTACACTCGGAAAAGGCAGAACCATGGCTTCCCAACAGGTGTCTGTAGTCTGTTCTTAGTCTTTCCAGTCCAGAGCAGTCTGTCTACCAGTCATTGGACACTTTTGCCATAAGCGTTGTTGCCTAGTAACACAACTGACACTCCTTTATCAGATCTCCCGGGGAACCAAGTTAGAAAGTTAATCCAAGGTCAGATTTGTCCTATCAAAGGGAAAGGGAATTTTTTTTTTGACCCTTAACTCATAACTGAATTTAACTTAAGGGCAGTTATAGTTTTTATCTGTATTTCAGTATTTGGGAGGATTATAATACCATATGATATGATACCATAAATAGTGTACTGATTTGGGAGAAAATAATATTTTATTATCTCTCTCCAGACAAAATTTGACAAAGGGGGAAAGGTTACTTCTTTTGGTGAGTATCCGTAATTTTCTTTTAAATCACTCATCAGTGAATGAGTGAACCCACTGGAAGTCAAGAAATTATAATATTTTGAGTAGAATATTCTTTGCATATATGGATGTGCTGAAGGAGATCTTTTTTAGCATTTGCCCATCTGTCCTAATTGGAACTGGCAACACCTGACCTGTGTTGTTGTTGTGTCAGGAGACACTTTCACTCTAACAGGATGTTAAGAGCGTAGGCTGGTGTGCAGCTGAGAGAGAAACACTCTTCTCCCTTTTGTTTCTCTTCATTAGTCTCCCTTTCACTGCCCCGGTCCTCATGTCCCTCTCCTCCTGTACCATGTTGAAGGCAGAGAATCACATAATACCACTGTTATTGCAGTAGCACTGGGTGACAGCAGACAGAAGGGACAGGGCACTGGATGGCAGTCAGATGGAACTCTGCCAGTGATGGCTCTTATGGACGGTTACTTTTTTAAATGAAACCAAGCATTACTTTACTGTGACCTCAGGTGCAGGTTTCAGATCTCCCATGTCCTTCCCACCCCGTGGTCCTGTTCCTGCTGTTGCTAAGATCCTAGTGGAGTATTTTGGGCGTTTTTTGGCTCGGCATCTCCTTCAAAAGGTGGTTCTACTTAGAGCTCTGTCACAGGTGTGGCTTGATACTACAAGAATAGATGCTACTATTACCAGCATCATTTATTGAGTTTCTTCATCTGTTTTGCTTTCTCTTAGGTAATAAATTTAGTTCTTGGGTAGGAGAATCTAGTGTGAGGACTGACTTTATTTTCTCATTTTGTATTAGTCCAAGAACAAAGAAAATTGAACTTGTCTGTTCATAGATTTAAAATGCTGAAGTTGATAATGTAGTAAGGAAAAAATAGAAAATAGAACTGTAGTTCTATACAGTTCATATTTAAAAATCCATGAATCTAGAGCTAGAAATTGATACTGTAAATTCCAATGATATATAGCTATGGTTTTTATATTGGTCCCAAGGGGCTTTTCTAAGTACAGAGAAATTTTATGAAGTATGGTTAAAAGGAGAAAAGAAAAATTAGTTTGACCAGATTTAGCCTGAGTATGTTTTTGAGGTAGAAATGGGTATTAAAAAGACCCAGTTTAGCTCTCGTTTCTGGTAGTAATAGAAGATTATCTTGGTGGTGGGAGGGGTACTCTGATATAAAAATCTAAACTTTTCGGTTTATTGGTTTACCCACTCTTTTTATTGAACATGTTTCTTTTATAGAAAAGAAGAAAACTGACTTATATCAAGAATTAGGTCTTCAAGCCAGAGATTTGAGGTTTCAGCATTTAATGAGCATCACAACCAGAAACAATAGGATTATCATGAGAATGGAGGTAAAGGATTTTATTTCATATACATTTCTCCACTGCAGTCTTATACAAGTTCCTAACTATCTTGATCAATAACTAGGTTAAAAGTAATTTCGTAATAAAAATAGCTATAGGAAACATAGAATATTTTATAATATAACATGTTGTTAAGAGTAAAACTCATTTAAATGGATTATATACATATACTCAGCAGGCACAGCACTGCTCTATTTATGATGGAAAAGATCTGACTTTGGTCTCCATTCTCACTGTTTGAATTTAGTCTCTAGTTTCTGAAATAAGAGAAAGAAGCTTGATTTATAATAGACATTTTCAGTTGTATACAGTTATGTGTAATTGTAGTGTAACTTCAGCTACTAAAAATATATTCTGGTTTTCCAAATAGCCTAAGACTATCCTTTAAAGTTTATCATCTTAATTTAAATTTTTATTTTTATGGAAAGCTTTAAGTTATTTTGGTGGGCTAATGTTTAAGGTTTGGAAATAGATGAGGGGACGCAGGTCTCAATGGTATCGGCCCTGCAGTGGACATGAGACTTGCTTTCTTCAAAAAGTCTTTGATGGCAGGTTTTTGTCAATTTATCTAGAATTAATTTTTTAAAAAATTAAAAAGGGAAGCAGTCTTTTCCCAAGTGATTTTTCTCCAAAACACATTCTTTACTTTTATTATCAATAGCTAGCACCCTTCAAAACAGTACCTCTTTAATGAAGAGATAGAGAAGTATGTGATAAAGCAAATTTAGCAAAATGTTAATTGTATCATCGAATTGGTATGTGTATAGGTATTCACTGTGTAATTTTTCAACTTTTCTGAATAAAAATGTTCATATTATAGTTGACCCTTGAGCCACATGGGGGTCAGGGGCGCTGAACCTCCACACGGTCAAAAATCCACATATAATTTATAGCCACAGTTCTTCCATATCTGCTGTTGCACATCCTCTGATTCAACCAACCACAGATAGTGTAGTACTGTGGTATTTACTACTGAAAAAAATCTGCATGTAAGTGGACCCGCATGGTTCAAGCCAGTGTTGTTCAAGGGTCAGATGTAAAATGGGGAAAATGGGAAAGAAAAGTTTCTGATTTTTATATCACTAATACAGTGGCCACAGGCTACTCTTCTGTGTTACTCTTCTGACATAAAAGATGTCAGTCTTTCTTTTTAGAATAAATTTTTAATTTCATAGTGTTCTAAATTAGAGCGCTAAGGATACATCTTATCTTTATCATTTTGAATTAGCTTAATGTGTCTTGGTGATATTTTAAAAAGGAAACTTTCCCATTTCAGCCAAACTAATCATGATTAAACTAAATCTTTTCTAAAAGTCTGCTGAATACCTGACTTTTAAGAAGACCTTATCTTGTTTCCTTTGTTCTCTGTATTTCTCATGATTACCCTGGAAGTCCTAATAAATACATAATTTGTTTAATTCTAGTTCTGTTGAGGCTGAGTTAGAGGTATCAAGACTTGGATTTATTTTAGGCTTCCTCTCTTTAAAAAAAAAAGTCTTGACTTTTTTTGAAAAACCAAATGAATAGTGATTTGGTTTAGGCTTAGTCCAAAATAGAGTATTAAATCCTATTTTATGAAGGTTATTTTTTCCCTACAACTCTACAACTTACATATGCACGTGTGTGTGTACATATATGTATATATATTTTTTTGTTTTGTTTTGTTTTTGTTTTCCCCAGTATTTGAAAGCTGTGATAACTCCAGAGTGTCTTCTGATACTAGATTATCGTAATTTAAATTTAGAGCAGTGGCTGTTCCGGGAGCTCCCTTCACAGTTGGCTGGAGAGGGTCAACTTGTCACATACCCTTTACCTTTTGAATTTAGAGCTATAGAAGCACTCCTGCAGTATCGGGTAAGCCTGTTTTTATTTAGATTCTTGAATGTTTTCTGGTTTTACAGTGCTATTGAGGAGGAAGACACATTGGTATTGTTTTAATAGCATTTTCCCTAACCACACCCTCCCCCCAAATAAAAACATTTCTAAGGGTCTTATATGCAGAAAGCACTTAATTCTTAAACTTTATGACCCAAACAAATAGATGTAAAGTCTCTAGGTATGGTATACATAGAGTCTCTTTGACAGTCATGTTATGACATTCAGTGAAGCTCATTTCAGGTTGTCTATCCGTTGTTCAATTTTAATAAGTGTATTCAGGGATGCTAATTCAAAATACTTATCCTAAATATATAAATGAACATATCAAAAGGTTTTAACTGTACTCCATTTTATTCTCTAACTAAATTGTTGTGTAACTGCTTGCACATGATAAATATTATAGCACAAATCTTTCATCAAATCATTCTGCTAGTTTCCATATCATTCTTTGATTTGTTTGTGTGTGTAATCCTTTGTTTGAGCTAGCTAAATGATGCCTGTGTTTGAGACCTAGTTTGACATAGAAACCGTGTACAATTCTTCTTACGATTCCTCCTTTAAGTTGATAATCATTGAGTGTCTGGGGATCCTGTCAGGCTCTGAGCAAGGATGGTCACTGCTTTCCTGGCCCCGACAAATCTTTCATCATCTTTTCTTCCCCCTATTAGTCAGGATAGTACTGTTCAGGACCTGGCTACACGCAAGAGTCAGTGCCATGAGCATGCTAGCCAGAGTGGGAGAAGAAGAGGGGAGAGTAAAGGGGACATGAGGTGGGTGGGGGTTGTTGGAACCTGGCACCCTTCTTTGTCTGCCTTGCTCTACTGAGGGAGTAGGAGATGGGTCCGTTCCTTACTCAGGTTAATGAGGCAATAGCACCAGCTAGTGCCAGCCAATGAGATGGTGACTCGTTGAAGCCAGTTACTAAGCAGGGAAAAAATGGGAAGAAATGAAGGTATAAACAACGGTTGCTGGCAAGCTACACAGACTGACTAAGCTCTCAGCAGCTAATGCTGGGATGGACAGTATATGTTGGAATTAATTAATCTTACTGCTTAATTCAGCTGCTGTTAATGCTGTTTACCAACAGGTATGGAAGAATTTTAATATTTTAAGAACTAGTATAGCTGTATCAATGTATATCTGCTGATTGATTCCTGCTGTGCCTATATTAACCCGAATAATAAATACACTTTTGACTTTTCAAGTTTATTTTGTAAAGTCTAAGGTAGGTTTTGGTTTTCAAAAGAGCCTTGTTCATAGGAGTTTTGAACTGTATCCTATTTACAAAGAACATAGGTATTGTTTACCAGATGTAAAGTTTATGTTTTTTTTTTTTTTTTTTTTTTTTTTTTTTGCGGGCCTCTCACCGTTGTGGCCTCTCCCGTTGCGGAGCACAGGCTCCAGATGCGCAGGCTCAGCGGCCATGGCTCACGGGCCCAGCCGCTCCACAGCACGTGGGATCTTCCCAAACCGGGGCACGAACCCATGTCCCCTGCATCGGCAGGCGGACTCTCAACCACTGTGCCACCAGGGAAGCCCAAGTTTATGTTTTAACCAAAGAACGGCAGCTCTTCTTTTAATCAGTCCTCCATTCCTTTCATTATAAGTGTCTGGTGTCTGTAGGGGGAAGAGTCTTATGGGAGTTAATTCCCTGGCAACCAAATGGGAGCTTACTAACAACATTATGCATGGTTATCTTTTAACCTAGGAGATCTAGTTTTTAATCATCTGGGATGGGCATTCCAGCAGTGACCATGTTCTGAAATGTTACCAGCTTTCCTAGCTATTACAGATTTCTGTATTTAATCAGAGCATTCACTGACCCTGAGTATTCTAAAAAGATTGTTTTAATCCTTATGAAAGGTCATGTTGTTATCTAGATCAACACTCTTCAGGGGAAACTTAGCATTTTGCAACCATTGATCCTTGAGACATTGGAAGCTTTAGTGGATCCCAAACATTCTTCCATAGACAGAAGCAAACTGCACATCTTACTACAAAATGGCAAAAGGTAAATATGGGTGCTTTACCAACTTGGGAGTTAGACACAGATGTCTTAAACTTCTCTTTCAGTAGTCTTAACAGTGAAATGTTTAACGTATATTCAGGTCCAAAATTAGTGTAACTCTTAGCTGTTTTAAAAATACCAACTAGTCTTGCTAATGATAATGACATTTTTTACTTTGTGACTTACTCTCAGTACCTTCATTTCCATATTTGATTTTCACTGTCTTTCATAACTTTAAGAAAGTAGCCTAGGTAGGAAGTTGAGCTAAAGGGGGCACACAAACTAATGTTTATTGAAAAGCTATTTTGCATAAAATGCTGTATCAGTCTCTTTTATGTGTGTGATGTCATCTCATCCTGTCAGCAATCCTGTTGACATGGTCCTCATTTTGAAGATAAGAAAACTGAGGTCTAAGTGACTTGTCTAAACTTTAACAGCTACTAAATAGCAAATCTAGACTCAAATCCAATTTTCTTTCCCTTCAAGGTCCATGGGTTTTTTTGTTTATCATAATGCATTCCAGAATTTAAGGATAATATTTTAATTTATATTACAGACTGAATGAACATGCCCTCAGGATTTGTACACCCTAAAAATCCATTCAGGAGTTAACAGTTAAAATTCCTGAATCAGTAGTTCTTTGTCTGAAAATATTAGGATGTTTTTATGAATTAAAAGTAAACAGTCTGTTCATCATCTGCCATGCTTATTAAGAGTAAAGATAAATTTCTGAGCCCAGAAGCTTAAATCACAGTGATTATATGTTTCTGAGATAAATAATATATGCTGACAATTGTATCATTGGTTAATTTTACCACTTAATGTAGTTTTGGGATTGGGAATTGATTCTCAGAGTGCATAGTAAATATAAAAAAAATTTTTTTTTACAAATCAGTGTTTACCGTGAATTTATAAGTGGATCTACTTGATAAGACACCAAAAAGACACTGTTCTTGTAGGGAAATTATTTTTATAGGTTTATGTTATTGATCATTTCTATGCAACTACTCTTACAGCCTGTCAGAGTTAGAAACAGATATTAAAATCTTCAAAGAGTCCATTTTGGAGATCTTGGATGAAGAAGAGTTGCTGGAGGAGCTCTGTCTGACAAAGTGGAGCGACCCACAGGTCTTGTAAGCAGACAGTCATGCTTTGTTCGTTTCTCTCTTAGGATCAGTTGATGGTCTTTTTCAGGATGACTTTTTAGGGAGGACACAACGTTTTGCTGGGATAGAGGATGTAGGCACTTTTCCTCCCTATTTGTTTCACTGTTTCCTGTACCATACTGCATCTGATTGAATTTAATGAGGACTTACTAAGTGCACACTGTGTACACAACAATATGCTGGGCTTTGACTGTACATGCACCATTACCTTTATTTTCAAAGGACTGGTCACCAAAGTAACATACACATCTACCCAGATAACTTACCTGGAGAGTTCAGCGGGAGAGAGGAGGGAAAGGGTGTGGGGTGCAGGGAGGCGAGTAGAGACACTGGCACAGATTCTGTAAGTCTGGTTAATATAAAAACGCTCTCATCTTGTAAACCTTTTACCTCTTATGAATTTAGGAATCATTTACACTTCTTGTGCACACCCAAGTTTAAATGTTGACTTTTAAATACCCCAAATATTTCATTTTTGTACTTCGCAGATCAGTATCAGAGATTAATACAGACACCTTTGTAATGTGCATAGTTTCTGTAGTGTGTACAGATTTTTCAACATTTTGAGAAATTAGTTATCTATATTCTAATGAACGATTAAGATAAAAAGGGCTCTATAACGCTTGATATTATAGCAGCTAGATATAGTAGCAGAAACTTGATCACTCTTGTAACTCTTGCTTTCTTTGCTTCTTAGACCAATTTATCTCTAATATGCTTTATAAGTGTCTTTTACAGAGTGCTTCATTCCCACTTATCCTTCTTGGTAGGGAGGATAATTTACAATGTGTGCTAATTTCTGCTGTACAGCAAAGTGACTCAATTATACACATATATTTTTTTCCATTGTGGTTTATCCCAGGATGGATATAGTTCCCTGTGCTATACAGTAGGACCTTGTTGTTATCATTCTGTATGTAATAGTTTGCATCTGCTAACCCCAAATTCCCAGTCCTTCCCTCTCCCACCCCCTTCCGCCTTGGCAACTGTTTCGTAGATAGGTTCATTTGTGCCATATTTTAGATTCCACATATAAGTGATACCATATGGTATTTGTCTTTCTCTTTCTGACTTCACTTAGTATAATCTCTAGTTGCATCCATATCATATGGTATTTGTCTTTCTCTTTCTGACTTCACTTAGTATAATCTCTAGTTGCATCCATGTTGCTGCAAATGGCATTATTTCATTCTTTTTATGGCTGAGTAGTACTCCATTGTGTGTGTGCCTGTGCGTGTGTGTGTGTGTGTATGTATATATATATATATATATATACATACACACACACACACACACACACCCCACATCTATTATCCATTCATCTGTTGATGGACATTTAGGTTGTTTCCATGTCTTGGCTATTGTGAATAGTGCTGCTGTGAACATAGAGGTGCATGTATCTTTTTGAATTATAGTTTTGTCCAGGTGTATATGCCCAGGACTGGGATTGCTGGATCGTATGGTAGTTCTATTTTTAATTTTCTGAGGAAACTCCATACTGTTTTCCATAGTGGCTGCACCAATTTACATTCCCACCAATAGTGTAGGAGGGTTCTCTTTTCTCCACACCCTCTCCAGCATTTGTTATTTGTAAAGTTTTTTTTGTTTGCTTGTTTGTTTTGCGGTACGCGGGCCTCTCACCGTTGTGGCCTCTCCTGTTGCGGAGCACAGGCTCTGGACGCACAGGCTCAGCGGCCATGGCTCACGGTCCTAGCCGCTCTGCGGCACATGGGATCCTCCCGGACCGGGGCACGAACCCGTGTCCCCTGCATCGGCAGGCGGACTCTCAACCACTGCGCCACCAGGGAAGCCCATTTGTAAAGTTTTTAATGATGGCCATTCTGACTGATGTGAGGTGGTACCTCATTGTAGTTTTGATTTGCATTTCTCTAATAATTAGTGATTTTGAGCATCTTTTCATGTGCCTACTGGCCATCTGTATGTCTTCTTTGGAGAAATGTCTGTTAAGATCTTCTGCCCATTTTTCGATTGGGTTGTGTTTTTGTTTCTGAGTTTTATGAGCAGTTTGTTTATTTGGGGAATTAAGTCTTTGTCAGTCTCATCATTTGGAAATACTTTCTCCCAATCCATAGGTTGTCTTTTCATTTTTTTAATGGTTTCCTTTGCTGTGCAAAAGCTTGTAAGTTTGATTAGGTCCCATTTGTTTATTCTTGGTTTTATTTCTATTGCCTTGGGAGACTGACCTAAGGAAACACTGGTACAATTTATGTCAAATAATGTTTTGCCTATGCTCTGTTCTAGGAGTTTTATGGTGTTGTGTCTTATGTTTAAGTCTTAAAGCCATTTTGAGTTTATTTTTCTGCATAGTGTGAGGGTTTGTTCTAACTTCATTGACTTAACGTGCAGCTGTCCAACTTTCCCAGCACTACTTACTGAAGAGACTTTTTCCTGTTTATATTCTTGCCTCCTTTGTAGACGATGAACTGACCGTAGGTGTGTGGGTTTATTTCTGGGCTCTCAATTCTGTTCCATTGATCCATTGTTTTGCTTACTGTAGCTTTGTAGTATTGTCTGAAGTCTGGAAGAGTTATGCCTCCTGCTTTGTTTTTGTTTCCTCAGGATTGCTTTGGCAATTCTGGGTCTTTTATGGTTCCATATAAATTTTGGATTATTTGTTGTAATTCTGTGAAAAATGTCATGGGTAGTTTGATAGGGATCTCATTAAATTTGTAGATTGCTTTGGGTAGTATTGCCATTTTAACAACATTCTTCTAATCCAGGAGCATGGGATATCTTTCCATTTCTTTGAATCCTCTTTAATTTCCTTTATTAATGTTTTATAGTTCTCAACATGTAAGTCTTTCCCCTCCTTGCTCAGGTTTATTCCTAGGGTTTTTTTGTTTGTTGGTGTGATTTTAAAAGGTACTGTTTTTTATATTCCCTTTCTGATATTTCATTGTTAGTGTAAAGAAATGCAACCAATTTCTAAATGTTAATCTTATATCCTGCTACTTTGCTGAACTCACTTATTAGATCTAGTAGTTTTTGTGTGGAGTCCTTAGGGTTTTCTATGTATATGGTATCATGTCATCTGCATATAGTGACAATTTTACCTCTTCCCTTCCAATTTGAATACCTTTTATTTCTTGTCTGACTGCTGTGGCTAGGAATTCCAATACTATGTTGAATAGAAGTGGTGAGGGTGGGCATCCTTGTCTTGTTCCAGATTTTAGTGGAAAGGCTTTCAACTTTTCACCATTGAGTATACTGTCTTTGGGTTTATCATAAATGGCTTTTACAATGTTTTTATCATGAATGGATTTTGAATTTTGTCAGGCTTTTTCTGCATTTTTAAAATTTTATTTATTTATTTATGACTGCGTTGGGTCTTCGTTTCTGTGAGAGGGCTTTCTCTATTTGCGGCAAGTCGGAGCCACTCTTCATCACGGTGCACGGGCCTCTCACCATCGCGGCCTCTCTTGTTGCGGAGCACAGGCTCCAGACGCGCAGGCTCAGCAGTTGTGGCTCACGGGGCCAGTTGCTCCACGGCATGTGGGATCTTCCCAGACCAGGGTTCGAATCCGTGCCCCCTGCATTGGCAGGCAGATTCTCAACCACTGTGCCACCAGGGAAGCCCTTTTTCTGCATCTTTTGATGATCATGTGGTTTTTTACTTTTATGTGGTGTCTTACACTGATTGATGTGCATATGTTGAACCATCCTTGTGAACTTGGGATGAATCCTGCTTGGTTGTGGAGTATGATCTTTTTTATATGTTGTTGGATTCAGTTTGCTAATATTTTGTTGAGAATTTTTGCATCTATATTCATCAAAGATACTGGCCTGTGATTTTCTTTTTTGGTGGTATCTTTGGCTTTGGTATCAGGGTGATGGTGGCTTCATAGAATGTCTTTGGGAGTGTTCCCTCCTCCAGTCTTCTGTAAGAGTTTGAGAAGGATGCGTATACGTTCTTCTTTGTATGTTTGGTAGAATTCACCTGTGAAGCCATCTGGTCCTAGACTTTTGTTTGTAGGGAGTTTTGTTTTGTTTTTTCACAGATTGTATTTCACTTCTAGTGAATCGGTCTGTTCAAATTATCTACTTCTTCTTGATTCAGTTTTGGTGGGCTATATGTTTCTAGAAAGTTGTCTCTTTCTTCTAAGTTGTCAAGTTTGTTGGCATATAATTGTTCATAGTATTCTCTTATGGGTTTTTCTATTTCTGTGGTATCGGTTGAGATTTCTCCTTTTTCATTTCTTAATTTGCTTATTTGGGTTCTCTCTTTTTTCTTCTTGGTGAGCCTGGCCAGAGGTTTATCAATTTTGTTTACCCCTTCAAAGAACCAGCTTTTGGTTTTATTGATGTTTCTTTCTATTTTTAATCTCAATTTATTTCCTCCCTGATCTTTATTATTTCCTTCCTTCTGCTGACTTTAGGTTTTAGTTTTTCTTCTTTTTCTAATTCTTTTAGGTGGTATGTTAGGTTGGTATGTTAGGTGGTATGTTAGGTTGTTGAGATGTTTTCTTGTTTTTTGAGGAAGGCCTGTATCGCTATGAACTTCCCTCTAAGAAGTGCTTTTGCTGTATCCCATAGATTTTGTGTGGTTGTGTTTTCATTGTTGTATGTCTCAAGGTAATTTTTAATTTCCTTTTTGATTTCCTTATTGACCTATTGGTTTTTAGTAGCATATGGTTTAGTTTTCCTATAATCATTTCTTTTCCTGTGGTTGATTTCTAGTTTCATGCTGTTGTGGTCAGAGAAGATGCTTGAAATGATTTCTATACTCTTAAATTTGTTGAGGTTATTAGTTTTGTGCCCTAGTATATGGTCAGTCCTAGAGAGTGTTCCACGTGCACTTGAACAGATGTATATTCTGTTTTTTGTTTTTTTTGATGTAATGTCTTGAAAATATCAATTAAGTCTAACTGTCCTATTCCATCATTTAGGATCTCTCTTGCCTTATTGATTATCTAGAAGATTTGTCCATTGATGTGAGTGGGGTGTTAAAATCTCCTACTATTACTGTATTCCAGTCAATTTCTTCCTTTATGTCTGTTAGTGTTTTATGGATTTGGTGCTCCTATGTTAGGTGCATATATGTTGATGACTGTAAAACCTCTTCCTGTATGGATCCTTTTACCATTATATAATGTTCTTTTCCTTTATGGCCTTTGTTTTAAAGTCTATTTTATAGTCTGATATGAGTTTTGCAACTCCTGCTTTCTTGTCATTTCCATTTGCGTGAAATATCTTTTTCCATCCCCTCACTTTCAATCTCTGTGTGTCCTTTGCCCTAAGGTGAGTCTCTTGTAGGCAGCATATTGTAGGCTCTTGTTTTTTTATCCAGTCTGCCACTCTGTCTTGATTTGAGCATTCAGTCCACTGACATTTAAGGTAATCATTGATACATATGTATCCATGGCCATTTTAAACCTTGTTTTCCAGTTGATTCTATGGATTTTTGTTGTTGTTCCTTTTTGTGGTTTGATGATTTCCTTTTATTTTATGCTTGTGTTCTCTTCTTTTTGGTTTTTGTGGATCTAGTGTATGTGTTTGATTTGTGGTTGCCCTGTTTTTCAAGTATGTTCACCCCTTCCTATATCTGCTTGCTTTAGACTGATAGTCATATAAGCTCAAACACATTCTAAAAAACAAGAATCTACATTTTCTTACTCTCCTTCTCCACATTTTATGATCTTGATGTCCTTTTTTACAGCTTCATATTTATCCTTTTGCTGTTTCTTGTGTTTATCATCCTTTCACAGTAGGGTTTTTTTTTTCTTTTTGATCTGTATACTGGCTAACTTAAGTGATTTATTTTTCAACTGTGATTTCCCCTTTCCTATATCTTCTTCTTTTGTATTTAGAGAAGACCTTTCAATATTTCTTTTAGGATAGGTTTGGTATTGCTGTATTCTTTTAGTTTTTGCTTGTCTGAGAACTTCTGTATTTCCCCTCCTATTCTAAATGATAATCCTGCTGGATAGAGGATTTTACTTTGCAGATTTTTCTCTCTCTAAACTTTGAATACATTTTGCCACTCCCTTCTGGCTCGCAGTGTTCCTGTCGAGAAATCAGATGATAGCCTTAAGGGGATTCCCTTGTAATTAACTCTTTGTTTTTCTCTTGCTGCCTTTGGAATCCTCTCTTTATCTTTAAAACTTTTGCCATTTTTTATTATAGTATGTCTTGGTGTAAGTTTCTTTGGGTTCATCTTGTTTGGGACCCTCTGCGCCTCTTGTATCTGGATATCTGTTTCCTTCTTTAGATGTGGGAAGTTTTCAGCCATCATTTCTTCGAATACATTTTCAATCCCCTTTTCTCCTTCTGGAATCCCTGTTATACATAGATTGGCACACTTTATATTATTCCATAGGTCTCTTATATTGCTTTCATTTGGTTTTCTGTCTGCTGTTTTGATTGGGTAATTTCCATTATTCTGTCTTCCAGATCACTTATGTTTCTGCATTATTCATTCTGCTATTCATTGCCTTTGGCTTAGCTTTCGTTTCAGCAAATGAATTTTCTAATTTTTCTTGGCTCCTCCTCATAGTTTCTAGTTCCTTTTTACAGTAATCTGCATCTCTGTTGATAGCCTTTCTTAATTCTTTCAGTATTTTCATTACCTCCTCTTTGAACTCGGTGTCTTTTAGACTGAAGAGGTCTGTTTCATTGTTTGTTCCTTCAGGGCAATTCTCTTAACTGGGAGTGGTTCCTCTGCTTCTTCATTTTGCTTATATTTCTCTTACTCTGAGTTTAGGAGAAACAATTATCTACTGTAGGCTTGGAGGGCTATCTACGTGCGGGAGCATTCCTGCTTAGCTTTTGTGGGTTTAATATTTTTTTGGCTTGAGGGCTGTCTTTGGTTTGGATGTTTGCCATCTCTTTCCTCAGCGTGTGCTGGCCATTATCCCCTTGTCAGAGGGTGAGCAGGTGCGTGCTCCGCGCACGCTCCCAGGAGGTCGGGGCAGCGGTTGGTGCCTGGTCACGGGACCCTCGGCGTTGGCAGGCTGCTCCCACTTCTGGAGCCTGAGATGGCAGTGGTGGCTCGTGCCCGCCCTCAGAGCTCATGTAAGCGGTGCCCTGCTGCCTGAGAAATAAGCTCCTGTGGAGGTCCCACCCCTCTCCTTATGCCCCCCCACCCCTCTCCTCATGCCCCCCCCCACCCCAGCAGTGGTGCCCTACCTCTCTGGGGGGCCCAGGCTTCTTCCCCCAGTGGTGGCACACCACACCCTAGCCCCCTCAGGCAGCCACCCCCAGTCTTCTCCCCTGTTCTGACCTCCGAAGCCTGAGCCTCAGCACCCGGCCCCCACCCGCCCCAGTGGAGGACCGTCTCGGGCTGGGGAGTGCCAGGCAGTGGCACCAACTGACTGTGTGGAGCTCTCTCCGCTTTGCCCTCCACAAACTGCTTGTTGTGCTCTCCTACGAGGCTCTGAAGCTCCGCCCCCCCCGCCCCCCCCAGTCCCAGCTGATCTGCCCGCCAGGGAGGAGACTTCCCAGTGTTCTGGCACCTTTCCTCTTTCACAGCTCCCTCCTGGGAGCAGGTCCCTTCCCGGTTGCTTTCTCTTTTTTTTTTTCTTTTGTCCTACCCAGTTATGTGGAGATTTTCTTGCCCTTTTGGAAGTCTGAGGTCTTCTGCCAGCGTTCAGTAGGTGCTCTGTGAGAGTCTGTCCGCATGTAGATGTATTTGTGGGAGAAGGTGAGCTCCCTGTCCTACTCCTCTGCCATCTTGAGCCTCTGACTGTATTGACATTTTTCAAAAACAGTTTACTTCTGCCATCTTGAGCCTCTGACTGTATTGACATTTTTCAAAAACAGTTTACTTCATATATGAAAATGATGTTATATATTTACCTTGGAAAGGAAAAGCTCTTTATGTTCATTTTTAATTTTTGGTTTTGTTTTACCTGATAGTGATTTGGGATTTGCACTAATTCATCAGCATTCACATGTCTGCATTTTCCTGTAACTGGTAGCATTGCAGAGCCTCCCTGGGATCAGGGCCATGGAATACAGTGAGGCCTGTGTAGGGATGGAACCCGTGTCCTCAACTACCTGTGTCATGTTTAGGGTCAGTTGGCAAAGCCACTCCAGACTGGCCTCAATCACAATAATAGTAAAGGCAAAGGGTAGTTTTTTCACTGGTGGCTGAATATTTTATACTAATTCAGGAAGTTCTGTGGTACTAAATGTATAATGCATATATTGGGGGCATGTTAATTATGTTAACTCTTAATTAAAGTGAAAAGAGCAGTGCTGGGATTGACCATGCAGAAGAGATGGAGTTGCTGTTGGAAAACTACTACCGATTAGCTGAGGATCTTTCCAATGCAGCTCGGGAACTTAGGGCACTGATTGATGATTCACAGAGTATCATATTCATCAACTTGGACAGGTAAGGCGGCCTCGTATAAAACAATCAGTAAGTCTTTTCTTTATAAAGTAATACACAGTAATAAAAATAATACACAGTAATAAAGCTTTTAAGGATAGCTTTGTTTTTCCATTTTGGAAAGAATTATACCATCATTATCGTTTGTAATTACTACATGGAAGTGTCTTTTTTTTAAGGTGTATGTTTAATCCATGTGGTCTTTAATAGATTATTTAGTGAATTTGCTGCGTGTAGTTGGTAAGATCTTCTGAACTAAGCAGTTGTTCTCCTCCCCAGCCACCGTAATGTGATGATGAGGTTGAACCTACAGTTGACCATGGGAACCTTCTCTCTTTCGCTCTTTGGACTAATGGGAGTTGCTTTTGGAATGAATTTGGAATCTTCCCTTGAAGAGGTGAGAATGTATTATTTCAGTAATCTAGAGGTTGTTTTTAATGTTTTGAAGATAATTTTTTTAATGGATTTTTTTAAAAGAGAACTTTATTTATTTATTTTTGGCTGTGTTGAGTCTTCATTGTTATGTGTGCACGGGCTTTCTCTAGTTGCGGTGAGCGGAGGCTACTCTTCGTTGTGGTGTGTGGGCTTCTCACTGTGGTGGCTTCTCTTGTTGCGGAACACGGGCTCTAGGTGCACGGGCTTCAGTAGTTGTTGCTTGCAGGCTCTAGAGCACAGGCTCAGTAGTTGTGGCACATGGGCTTAGGTGCTCTGTGGCACGTGGGATCTTCCCAGACCAGGGCTCAAACCCGTGTCCCCTGCATTGGCAGGTGGATTCTTTTTTAACATCTTTATTGGAGTATAATTGCTTTATAACAAAGTGAATCAGCTATATGTATACATATATCCCCATATCTCCTCCCTCTTGCGTCTCCTTCCCACCCTCCCTATCCCACCCCTCTAGTTGGTCACAAAGCACGGAGCTGATCTCCCTGTGCTATGCGGATGCTTCGCACTAGCTATCTGTTTTACATTTGGTAGTGTATATATGTCCATGCCACTCTCTCACTTCGTCCCAGCTTACCCTTTCCCCTCCTTGTGTCCTCAAGGCCATTCTCTAAATCTGCATCTTTATTCCTGTCCTGCCCCTAGGGTCTTCAGAACCTTTTTTTTTTAAATTCCATATATATATTGTTAGCGTACGGTATTTGTTTTTCTCTTTCTGACTTCCTTCACTCTGTATGACAGACTCTAAGTCCATCCACCTCACTACAAATAACTCAATTTCGTTTCTTTTTATGGCTGAGTAATATTCCATTGTATATATGTGTCACATCTTCTTTATCCATTCATCTGTTGATGGACACTTAGGTTGCTTCCATGTCCTGACTATTGTAAATAGAGCTGCAGTGAACATTGTGGTACTTGACTCTTTTTGAATTATGGTTTTCTCAGGGTATATGCCCAGTAGTGGGATTGCTGGTTCATGTGGTAGTTCTATTTTTAGTTTTTTAAGGAACCTCCATACTGTTCTCCATAGTGGCTGTATCAATTTACATTCCCACCAATAGTGCTAGAGGGTTCCCTTTTCTCCACACCCTCTCCAGCATTTATTGTTTGTAGATTTTTTGATGATGGCCATTCTGACTGATGTGAGGTGATACCTCATTGTGGTTTTGATTTGCATTTCTCTACTGATTAGTGATGTTGAGCATCCTTTCATGTGTTTGTTGGCAGTCTGTATATCTTTTTTGGGGAAACGTCTGTTTAGGTCTTCTGCCCATTTTTGGATTGGGTTTGTTTTTTTGATATCTAGCTGCATGAGCCGCTTGTAGGCAGGTGGATTCTTAACCACTGTGCCACCAGGAAAGTCCCTTTAATGGATTTTAAAAAGAAAGTTTTAACATGTATACTCCCCTAGTGAAATAAAATATATACTCTAACTCATTTAAAATTCATGTCGTATTGTTAGACTCTGTTATAACGCAGATAGCCTAGGTTACCTTATGATTCCCAAAACATGTAGTTACACATGGGAAAGGTTTGACGAAACAGTAGTACACTGTGAGGCAGTGTTAATGAGGGATTCTTTTTTTGTTTGTTTTTAATTCTTGTGTGTCAGGCAGTGTTCCAGGCAGTTGCATGCTTTATTTGACTCAGTTATCAAAACTCTGAAAATGAATGTATTTTCCCTGCTTTATAGGTAGGAAAACTGAGGCTCAGAAAATGTTAGTAACTTGACCAAGGGCACAGAGCTAGGAAATAACAGAACTAGGATTTAGTCCCCAAGACTTGCACGTTCCACTTTGCTCCATTTTAATATAACACTGAACTCGCAGAGTTTTTTTTTTAAATTATTTATTTATTAGGCTGTGTCAGGTCTTAGTTGCGGCACGTGGGCTCTTCATTGTGGCATGCAGGATCTTTCATCGTGGCATGCAGGCTTCTCTAGTTGCAGCACGTGGGCTTCTCTCTAGTTGTGGCGCAGGCTCAGTAGTTAAGGCACACAGGCTTCAGAGTGCAAGGCCTCAGTAGTTGCGGCGTGCAGGCTTAGTTGCCCTGCGGCAGGTGGGGTCTTAGTTCCCTGCCCAGGGATGGAACCTGCATCCCCTGCATTGGAAGGCAGATTCTTTTAACCACTGGACCACCAGGGAAGTCCCTCGCAGGGTTTTTCATAACATTGTAGGCTTGTACTTTCAGAAGATGTCTTACTGTGAGATTTCTAGAAATGAATCTGCATGCGCGTTTGGCAGGCACACTGTGGCGCTGGGTTCTGTGTCCTAGTTAACAGATCTATTCTCTGTCTCCAGCTGTTGCCGAAGTCCAGCCCACGTCATCTCATCAGGACCACTATTCACTTTTATAAAGTGGTCTTTAAAAGAAGCAAATCTGATGGTCACTCTTCTGTGTAAAATTATTCAGGGCGTTTTGATTGTCATTAAGATAAAAATCCAGATTCCTTGGCTTGTAGGGCTTTTCCTGGTCTGCTGCACCCACATCTCCATCTTGTCTCCAGACACCTTGCCATCACCGTCGGTTGATTCATCACTATTCTTACTCACAGGGCCTCCACACGTCTCTCCTCGGCATCCTCCTGTTTTTGCCTAGTTAACATCTGTTTCTCTCTCAGGTCTCAACTTATGTGTTACTTCCAAGGAGACTCTTCCCTGACTGCACCCCCAACCCAGCCGAGTAAAATTACTCCCCTGGTTATATGTGCCCAAATAATCCCACACTTCCCATTTGCCGTGTTCCTCAAGTTTGCAGTTGCTGTTTAAAGTCTGCAAAAGATTATGGCTCCCTGAAGCAAAGTCAGCAGTAGTCATTTTAATGCTCCTTATAAGATGTGAAAGAAAAATAAATGCAGCACACTTCATTCATTCATCTTACAGATACGGTTTTGGTGCCTGTTGCACACTAAACACTGCTTTTAGCCGTGGGGATATAGCATTGAGTCCCTGCCCTTGTGGAGATTCCATTACAGTGAGGTAGAAGAGAATAAACAGATCCATAGTATATTAGGTGATAAGTGCCATAAAGAAAAATAAAGCCAGGTAAAGGGAGAGACTGTTAGCAGGAGGTGAGACGAGGGGCATCCTAGAGATAGGGTGGTCGAGGAAGATCTTTCTGAGGAGGTGACCCTAGAGCAGAGACCTGAATGAAAAGAAAAAGTGGAAAGGCCTGGGAGGAAGGTGATCTAAGCAGAGGGACCCATGCATGTGAGACTAAAGCAGGGATGCACTGAGCTTGTTGAAGGAACAGCAAGAAGGCCAGAGTGGTAGGGGAGGTGCGTCAAGTGGAGAAAGGCAGGGAGAATGTCAGAAGGACAGAGGGGGAGGGCATGTAGATTTTGTGGCGCATGCTAAGAGTTTGGGCTTGTTCTAAGTGTGATAGGAATCTCTTGGAGACTTTTGAGCCCAAATATAGTAGAAAGTCCAGTAGTCGCCAAAATATCTTGTGCGACATAGACCAGCCCTGGACATTCTCAGAAGGTACTTCCAAAGACCTTTGCAAATTCCCCAATTTGTGACTGCAGAACTCTTTCCTGTTATTCTCCCAAATTATTTTTGTTAAGAACTATTTTTATGGACATATACTCACTTTACAAGCTAACTCTATCTTATGCTTACTCTAATATTTTTCTCTAAATGCCCACTTAAAAAAAATAAAGAGTTTTTAGAAATTCCTTTCTGATAGTTTCAGCATATGCAATAATTCTGGTTGTAATGAGATCTGAGTAGAAAGTAGTGAGCTAGGCTTGCCTCCCAGAGCAAGATTCAGATCAGTGTCTCACCAGAGTCGCAAATGACATCTCCAGGTTTCCTGGAGAAGAGTTGAGAGATGTTCATTAAATCTATGAATATCAGAGGTTTCCCTGTTCTTGTATAGTTGGAGTTAATATTTACAATGGTGAATCCAAGATAGGAAAAACATTTTTCTTTTTAAAAATAATACCAGACTGTCTCAAGAATAGTCAAATATTACCATACAACCTTTACCCAGATTCTTCAAACAGCAACATTTTATCATATTTACTCTATCATTCTATCAATATATACATAATTTTTTTGTAAATCATTTGAGAGTAAACAAAAAATGATGCTCCTTTACATCTAGATATTTCAGTATATATTTCCTAAAAATATGTATTCTCTTACATAACCACAGCTCCAGAAAATTAACATTGAAACAACACTATTTTCTAATCTGTGGAACCTGGTCAGGTGTCACCACTTAGCTCAGTAGAGCCCTTTGCCTCATAGAAAATCTTGGATCATGTGTTGTTATATAGTTGTCATGTCTCCTTAGGCTTCTTTAGGCCAGTTTTTCGATCTTTGTCTTTCATGGCCTTGACGTTCACAAAGAATGTAGGTCAGTTGTTTGGCCCTTGATACTCTTTCTTCATTATTAGATTCTGGTTACACATTGTGTCAGTGTGTTCCTCACATTGAATCCCATCAGGAGACCCTTGATGTCAGTTCGTCTCATTACTGGTGATACCATGATCATTTGGTTAAGGTGGTATCTGCCCACTTTCTGTCCTGTGAAGTTACTCTTTTTCTCTGTGGAATTAAGTATCTTGTAAGAACTCTGCTATTCATCAAATTTGTACCCTCTAGTTTTGTTTTGTTTTTTAATTCAAGTATAGTTGATTTACAATGTTGTGTTAGTTTCTGCTGTACAGCAAAGTGATTCAGTTATACATATATATACATTTTTAATATTCTTTTCCATTATGGTTTATCATAAGATATTGAGGAGAGTTCCCTGTGTTATATAGTAGGACCTTGTTGTTTATCCATTCTCTATATAATAGCTGACATCTGCTCACCCCAACCTCCCACTCCATCCCTCCCCCAACCCCCTCCCCTTGGCAACCACAAGTCTGTCCTCTATGTCTGTGAGTCTGTTTCTGTTTTTTAGATAGGTTCATTTGTGCCATATTTTAGATTCCACATGTAAGTGATATCATATGGTATTTGTCTTTCTCTCTCTGACTCACTTAGTATGATAATCTCTAGTTTCATCCATGTTGCTGCAAATGGCATTATTTCATTCTTTCTGATGGCTGAGTAATATTCTATTGTATACACATACCACGTCTTTATCCATTCCTCTCTCGATGGACATTTAGTTTGTTTCATGTCTTGGCTGTTGTGAATAGTGCTGCTATGAACATAGGGGCGCTTGTATCTTTTTGAATTATAGTTTTGTCTAGATATATGCCCAGGAGTGGGATTGCTGGATCATATGATAATTCTATCTTTAGTTTTCTGAGGAACCTCTGTACTGTTTTTCATAGTGGCTGCACCAACTTACATTTCTCACCAACAGTGTAGGGGAGGGTTCTCTTTTTCTCCACACCCTTTCTAACACTTGTTATTTGTAGACTTTTTCATGATGGCCATTCTGACCTGTGTGAGGTGGTACCTCATTGTGGTTTTGATTTGCAGTTCTCTAATAATTTGCACCCTCTAGTTTTAGCATCCACTAATTGATCCAAAGTGGATTCATGTCTGAATCAAGTACTGCAATGATGATGATCACACGGTGATTTCTAATTCCATCACTCCTCCTACTTTTCTTCTTTGTAAAGTAGAGCCTTCCTTCTCTCCCAGTTATTTATTCATTTGTATCAGTATGGACTCATGGGGTCTTACTTTAGTCAATGAGTTATAATCTGTCACTACTGTCATTATTTATCGTGGTGTTCAAATTGTTCCTTTCATGCTGACTTCTGAGTACTTTTGACGTGTCCTCATCAGTTTTAATGCTTTTTTAGCCTTTGGCACATCAAGGTGTTCTAGGCATCTTATTTTTAAGGAGTAGATAGACTGAACAGTGGCAGAGATGAAGAGCTTGAAAGGTAGGTACTTAAACATACAATACTGCAGGGCACACCCAGAGCAGAGGGGGCATTAAAAATCCAACTCTTAGATACTTGTCCCTTCCCTTAATCTCCTAGAGTCTCACACTGTGCTGTATTTTAATGACACATAGAATTTTGGACTTGCTTACCTCTCAAGTTGATCACATTTTAGCATTCCCAGACTTTTGGTTTATAGGGCATTACAGAACCAGTCTATAACAAAAAACAACAGTAATCTGGGTATGCTAAATCTCATTTAAACATAATTTTTACTTAATAATTTAGCGCCTTCGTTTAGGATAACTGGAAATGTGTTCATCCAAACAGTTAACTCACATTAGCACTTGTCTTCTTGATAAATTATGTCTAACATCTAATTTCATGTTAAAAAGGAGGCAGATTTCTTTTTCATATGTGGCTTGAATTTCCATCGGTGGTTACTGATCGTTTTGGAGGAAATTGAGCTCCCAATCACTGGAGACCAAGCCATTGTTGATAATAACAAATGGCATTTCTGTAGCTGAGCCTCCTTCCGTGTGGGAGATTAGTGTAAATTCTGTGATTCTATACATTCACACATGCACTCAAAAGCATCACACTGCAAAAGAGAATACAATTCTGAAAATGACAGTGAGGAGAATTCCCTGGCGGTCCAGTGGTTAGGACTCTGGGGGCCTGGGTTTGATCCCTGGTCAGGGAACTAAGGTCCTGCAAGCTGTGCAGCGTGGCCACAAAAAAAAAAAAAAAAGAAAAGAAAATGACAGGGAAAATGTTCACTGTAAGTCAGAGGTTCCCAAACTTCCTTGGTTCATGATGCTTTTAGTGTCTTAGTAATTTTTTTGCAGCATCCCTAGACCAAAAGTTTCTTTCATTATGTTAGAGTTTCTGTCATGTTACCTACAGTTTCTTTTATGAAGAAGGTAGGTCAAAACAATTTAAAAGTAGCAGTTCTCATGGTATTCCACAGATGGCACCGTGATTTCCTTGAGAATTTAAAGTATTCTGTGGTGCTGTAATGCCAGGACACCTCAGCTCACAGTTTGGCAAATGTGGCTATAAGTAAAAAATTTAAATTAAGTTGTATGTCCTATGTGATCCTAACTATTATAACTATTGAAATTTGTGTGAATGTAAACAGATGAAGGAAACACAAAGTAAAAGCAGTTAATGTGGGTTCATCGTAAAATACTCTTAAATCATGTTTTCCTTCTGATTTATTTTCTGACGCTTGGTCTCTGGGTGCTATTTGTTCTTAGTTCCTATAGGAAAGAGCAGTACAAATAACAGAAGGTTTCTTTTAAACTCTGGGGCAATGATAAGTTCAGGAAATTTTATCACTAAGGAAACTAACCTTTTGTGACTGAAATTAACTGTGTTCTCTTTTAGGACCATAGAGTGTTTTGGCTGATCACAGGAATTATGTTCATGGGAAGTGGCCTCATCTGGAGGCGTTTGCTGTCATTCCTTGGACGACAGCTGGAAGCTCCTTTGCCTCCTCTGGTATGAAGGGTCTGGTTCACAGCAGTACCGCAGAGGGGCTACAGTCCTGGGCTCTGAAGTCCTGTGGCCTGGGCTTCAGCTCACGGGCTTTGTGACCCTGAGCAGGTTACTTAACTTCTCTAAGCCTCGCTCAGTTTCTGCATCTGCCACCTGCTTCATGTAATTAAAGGGAGAATTAGATAATGTGTGTAATGCACTTATGAGCACAGGGCCTGGCACAGTAAATAAGTTAGAAATTTATTCTGTGTGGGACACTGACAAGCATTGTACATTTAGACAGATGTTAGTAACTTTGTGGTGCAGCTTTTGTCATAACCAAAATTGAAATGTAGAGAACATTTATCGTGTATAGGAAAAGATACACAGGTTACCTCTTTTTCTTACGTTTCTACTTATAGTTTATACCCCTGGAGCTCAAGACACTGATACATGGCTTGCAGTCCTTTCCTCGTTTAGTGGTTAATGTATCGTTTTACTGGTGGCTTTTCTTTTAAACAGACACAACTAAAATTACGAATTTTTCTGCTTCATTTAGATGGCCTCTTTACCTAAAAAGACACTGCAGGCAGACAGAAGGACGGAAATGAAACACAGCTTCAGGCCGGATGGACTTGAATCAAGCAGGAGTGTCCTAACAAACCGTTAGGCACAACCCGGTGGAAACTGAATTATTTTTTTATGGTAGTCACAGGAGAATTATGATATTCTTCTATTATTTTCTTTTATAAGAGTCAGAGACTTGGGGAAAAACCACTGACATTTAAATTATAGTGTCTGATGTTAAAAATATTAACGGCAGTCACAGTACTAGAACTTAATTGCATTTTCAGGATTCTGAGTAAAGAAGCAAAGCGCTTGCTTTGTAAAACGCCAAAGTTTTATTTCCTACAAACTTAAGAGATTAACTTAACACAAGAATAGATTGTGGTATCAATTTTAATTTATACATGTCAACAAAAGTGCAACCTCATGCCAAATGAAGCCTGGAAACTTGACAAGCCCACAGTTATGAGACCAGGTTGCCATAGTTCTTAGTACAAGGAATCACATTCTTGTGAATTTGTCACTCTCAGGTGACTGAAAAGCTAGCAGAATATATATTAACCTTAAAACAAACTCTGCGAGTTTGTGCTTTAAACCAGTCTTTGACATAACCTTATTTTCTTGTATTTGCCCCCCTTTTATATAAGGAATAAAAAAAGGAAATGAGTTTAATGTCAGCTTTATATAGGTTCCAGTTAATCAGAATTTTACTTCCTCAGCCAATGAAACTATTTTTCTTTGCTTGACTATAATTAAAGCTTTTGGGAATTGAGCTGAAAGAATTTCCATTCTATTACTGCTTTATAGCTGTTTTGGTCATTCCCTGGTTTTTAGAACAGATAGACATGTCACCCCAAAAAGGAAAATATATGTAGCCTAGTTAATCTATTTGCCTACACCTTGGAGGTTGACAGATGGGCTTCCTAAAACAAGAGGGTAGATAAACTTTAAAATTGTGATACCTTTTTGTTTTCACAATCAGATTTGGGTTTAAAACAAATGACTGATATTTGTACGTCTCAAAGCTCCTATCCTGGGGCTTCCCTGGTGGCGCAGTGGTTGAGAGTCCGATGCGGGGGACACGGGTTCGTGCCCGGGTCCAGGAAGATCCCACATGCCATGGAGCAGCTGGGCCTGTGAGCCATGGCCGCTGAGCCTGCGCGTCCGGAGCCTGTGCTCCGCAACGGGGGAGGCTGCGATGGTGAGAGGCCTGCGTACCGCAAAAAAAAAAAAAAAAAAAAAAAAGCTCCTATCGTACTTAACATCTTCTGCCTCTTTTAATGTTGGGTTTGTAAACCTGAACGAACTTTTTGGCGAACCCAAATTATTTTCTGGAGGTTAAGTACAGTTATGCAATAGAACGTGACAGTTATATTTGCCTCCAAAAGATGCATAGAAGATTCTAGAGTGTTCAGAGCAGCTCTTGCACTACAAATTTAGTAGTAAAATAAATATGCATACCCTGATGATGTTGGAGGATACCTGATACCCTAATATGTCATATGAGGGAGTTTAGGGGTCCATTTACCAGGTGGTTTAGTGCTAGGAATAAAAATGATCTTCTAGTAGCCGATTTGAAAGAAAAGTTACAAGTATTAAGTTTTCCCTGTTCCCATGTCTGGTTATGAGAGGACATTAGAATAGCATGAAGCGGGCTGGGCTTGTCTTGGAGCACACTTTATGGTGTGGTTGTTGGAATGTGAGTAGCATCATACATCTGTTCGATGATTTCCAGGATGAAGTATCTTTGACAATATTTAGATTTCACAGGGCACTCTTCTCTGGTACACCTCAGAGCACTCTGCTGCTATTTGATCTTAGGTCATCACTGTAAAATAAGGTAATAAATATCACTTAACTGTGACATATGAAGAATTGGAAGTCCAGAGGGCAAAACTTGATTTGGTTAAGATCAGGCATAGGATAGAATTTTGGTCTTTCTTTCTGATGTTGCTTAGTTTGTGGGCTTACATAAAATTTTTGATGAGTCATGTGGCATCAATAAATGGAGAATAAATGCAACTACCTCATAAGTCTGATGAAGGGAAGGTACTAATGGTTTAAATTTCTTGGAGGTGGTTAAATCAAGTATGATTTCCAGATGGCAGCCAGCTCTGCTTTGGTGATGGGTAGCAGGATGCTTCTTATATTAAAGAGCCCTCAAATAATAACAGCTTATGCCAAAAAAAATGTTCAGCAGTTTTAAATTTTGAATTTAAATAGACGGAGTATGTAAGGTGAAAGAATCCCAAACATTCAGTTATGAGTAAGCAGGCAGTCGTATTCTGTTTAACATGTATAAGTACAAGGAATGATATTCTTAACAGATTGCCTTTGTAAGGCCTTTAAGAAAATGTGGCAAGAATAGACGTCATTTTAAGATGCTATTAACACTTGCTTCATCCTTGATAAAGACTGATAACCACTAAATAGTCATATTAAAAAGCCATTTATTTTGGTGAGTTATTCCAAGAGTTGTACAAGCTTTATGTTTTGGAATTGCAATATTAAACTCACTCTAAATTCAGGATTTATTGTCATTACCTTAGTAATAGCTATGCAGATGGAGCATGGAATAGGGAATTCAGAGACCTGAGTTTATTCCCAAACTCACTTCAAATCTCTGTAGGTCTGTGATACAAAGGCATAGAACAATTCCAGTATTGAAGCCTTGATGAAAGTTTTGGCATATACAGGTAATAGATAAAAATTGCAAATATGTAAATGTGTTCTGATATCTTAAAAGGTAATTTTGAGTTAAATTGTATAAGTTCAGGTTTGTGTTCAGGAGAGATTAAATCCCTAAGGTATTTTTGTTAAGTATTTCAGAATCAATGCTTGGAACTACAGTTAATACTTAGTAGAGTGAAAATTTAATCCACCTATTAGGATAATACATTAGACTGTCAGGTATTAGACTTTTTTCCTGTATGCTGGGTTTTTACATATTTGCCATATACTCAGTAGAAGTACAATTTATATAATTTTGAATATGGGGTTAGTATGGTTTGATATCCTATATGAAAACCTGCTTCGAACGTTGTAAATTTTAACCCTCTCCTCCTGCTGCTTGCTATGTGGTATGTTCAGGCATTGAGAAAATAAAAATCCTCAGGTAAAGAATAATCATGTTTAAACATAGGCCCTGTCATTTAGTAAAGCATAACACTTTCTATAATAATGGCAACATGAAGGTATGCGTCCTTCTAATCCAATATTGAAAACATGCCTTTACTAAAATGCAGTGTCATTAGCTTGTTCTACACTCAGACTTCTCAATTCATAAAAACTCATAATTACAGCTAATTTCTGGTCCCCTAAAAATAAACTTCCTTTTAATTAAAAATAATTCTTCAAATAGGAATTCTTCAAATAGGTTGAGCTGCCAATAATTGTTAACCAAAACCATACTGTGTTTCTGTGTGCTTTTCGCTGTGCCATAGGGGAACCATGCAGCTAGTATACCTCTTTCAGAAAGATGAGACAGTCCCAGGAGTGATCCAGAGGTCCTATCTAGGTATGTGCCTGTTTATGCTGTTTTCCTATATACATACTCACCTTATGCTCACAGTTGTAATTCTACTAGCTTTTCCTTGATTTCTGATTTAGCTTACTCTTCAGCTGAATTCCTGTCTCCTTTGACCAGTCTCTGTACTGCCTCCAGAGAAGCTAAGAGAAGGGCTGTGGTCATTTTTAATTTTCTTATGCTTTTTAGTATCAGTTCACTAGTGTCAGAAGAAAGAGGTTGTACCCTGACTGACAGAGAATCAACTAGTTACTGTTTATGGATAATAATGCCTGCAGATTTTTAGTGAAGCTGAAATCCTATGGTACATTTCCTTTCCCTTAAATATGCCACCCTGCAGGACTGGCAGATGAGATCTACTCTGCTAAAACCAGCCCAGAAACAAGGGCGGCCAAGGCCTGCCTCACTCCTCTGGGTCCCTGGCCTCCGGCTCAGGACAGATCTCTCTCCTTTCTGCTCTAGTTTTGTTGGCACAGCTTGTGGCAGCCTAATGCACCCAAGGCTTCGTGGGATGACGTCAGGCTAGCTCACTAGGTTCATCTGCTGTTAGAACAGTCGTTTCTCCGAAAGCATCTGAGGGCACAGTAAGATGTTTTACTTTTTATATTTGTCTTTCACTATATGAAACATTGAAAATACAATCATCCTCATAAGAAAGGACCATATCATTTGCAAGATGATTCTGGAGTTGTGAGGTTATGCCTCACCCCTTACTTTTCTCCTCACTCTGTTTCTGCTCTTTGTGCCTTTTTCCTGTATACTGTGCTTTCTATTTGTTTGATTGGAATGGGTCACCAACTTTAAAAGGACATTTTTAGGAAGAATTGTGTTACAGAGGTTTTCCTAAGAGATAACCAGAGAGAGGCCTTTCCAGTCATCAGACACAGGTTGTACAGCAGGTCTGAGCACAGGAAACAAGTTAGGAATAAGTTTAGGTACAAAGGAAACAAACTTTGGAAGGGGACATGACTAACCAGAGTATTTGCTGTTTCACATGCTTCTGATGTTGTCCCCATTTACTGTATCCTATTTCCAGATAGTTTGGCTGTTTGTGTGTATGTCTCCACCCCCAGGAGCCCCACCTGTGGTGGGAGCTACAAGGCTCCACTGGAGGCATCACTCTGTCCACCAGAACGCTCACCCTGGAGATGACTTGGCATGAGAGAGGGAGGGGCAGGTTAGGAAGACGGAGTGAAACCTTTAATCTTGGCCGAGGCTATAGATATGAAGTGCCCCAGAGAGTCGGGCTCCCAGAGAACTCTTTCCAGCAGCGATGACAACTTGGTTCTGTAGGGGACACAAAACAGGATTCATTTTCCGTTCATAACATCTGTTAAGTTCCTGCTGTAGTCCAGGCATCATGTTATGCTCGGAAATATAAAGATGAGTAAGACATTGGCCAGACCCCAGGGCTTGAGCTTAAATACCCCTTTGGCAGATCTGTAGGTTCAGAAAACTACAGCTGAGGAAGTTCTCTGTAGTCCCTTCTCTGGTACATAAAGGAAAAGTGTGTCCATGCGTTTTTATTCAGCATCTGAGCTGTGGTGCAGTGTAGACGGCATATCTGGAGTAGTAAGACTTCCACAAACAGGCTGGCCTTTGTCAGTGTGTTCACACCACCTGCTCTGCCCCTGCTGATTGAAATATTGTAGGAACTGTTTTTCAGAATGGTCTAAGCTTGTACAAGTTTTTAAACAGTTTTTGAGGTGGATTTTAGTTTTGGAAACTACCAAGAGTTTTTCTGGACCATGGCTGGTAGATGAGGTGTAGCTGATCAAACTGGCTGATAGGGTTGTGGTAGAGCAGGGTGTGACCATAAAACTGTGACGTTTCTCATTGACTTAATTTTGAAAACTACCAATGGAATCCAGAAATAAAGGCTAACATACTGAGCCTTTACCATATGTCAAATACTATGCTTAACCCTTTGCTTGTATCTTTTTAAATACACTAGTGTCAGATAAGAGGGAAAATCTCAACTCTTATTTATGGAATTACTCATTTACTGGCTTTGCCTGTAGTTTGGCTGTGAGCTAAGTTTCCTCTCCATTTCCTGGTTAAACCATCTTCATGCCTAAAATCAAGTGTTCCCCTGCTTCTTGCCCTCTCTGCCCAGTCAGCCTACTCCTATTTCCAGATCCACTCAGGCCCAAGGGACCCTGCAAGGCCACCAGCATAGACTTCCATTGATCTCTGACTGCCTTTGGTCATCCTAAATGGACTTGCTGGTCTTGTAGGTGTTTCAT